TAATATATAAAAAGAGAACACATATTTGATAGAGAGAGGCAAATTGTTACAACAATTAATATACATAAATTTATAATTCATAAATTTGAATTTAAATAAAATTTGTATTAAACTTAAATTTACTAAAAAAAATTTTAATTTGTAATTTGAATTAGTTTGCAACATTGTTAAGCAAAATATTAAAAGAAAGTCAATCTGAATAATTAACATAGGAATATTTGAACTTCCTAAAATTTAGTTGATAAAAAAAATAATTTCGAACTATTTATGGAAATCATAAAGCTAATTTTTAAAACTGTAATCCTTTGTTAAACTAAGCTATGTAGTATTTTAAACCAAATGAATATAATGAATTAACTAATTAATAATTAATTAGTTAATAATATATTGATATACAGTACATATCTGCAAAATATAATGATCCATATCTAAAATTTCTTATTTTATTATTGCCATTGTTTTTGCCCCAATGTAGCTGAAGCACATGGATAAAACAGTTGAGCATTTGCCCAAAATACAATTTGATTAGCTTCAGGCACAGGTTCCAGCAGTGCGCGGCGATCGAGTGTGCGAAGTTCAGAGTTAAGTGGCGAATCGAATTAATGGTCGGCGGTTATACGGTTATGGGTTAGACATGGGCCCTTGAGGAAATATTGTCACGTAGGTGCACGTATGTGGACACCATCTTGAGGGCGTCCCTCGGCGTGCCATTTATGACTGCCAAAATGTTCGTGTATAAAAAGTCTGCGATTCGCAGTCGATATCAACATTCTAACAGCAACCAGCAACAGTTCGACATGGCTTTCAAGTTCACCAGCTCTCTGCTCATCCTGGCTGCCATCGCAGCGGTGTCTGTGGCGGAGCCGGCACGTCTGCGCAATCGCTCATCCCGCTTGCGTTTGGCTCGCCAGGAGGAGGCGCCGCCAGCGCCTGTGGATCCAGTTGTGGACGTCGCTCCAACGCCTGCCCCGGCACCTTACCCGCCTGCAGGTGTCACGCCCGCCATACCCTTTGACCTGCCCACCGAGACGGAGACCGAGGCGCAGCCCGATCTGACCTATGGCCCACCTGACAACACCTATGGTCCACCACCCGCCGAGCCGGACAACACCTATGGCCCGCCACCTGCCGAGCCCGACAACACCTATGGCCCGCCCCCTGCCGACTCTGCCGCTGATCTGGACCAAGACCAGGATCTGGCTCCAGCCGATGCCGATCCAGCTTCAGAGCCCATTCCCGCCAGCCTGATCCTTGCACGCAACGGCCGTCTGCGCCTGCGCCGTCCTGCATCAGAGAAGCTGCGCTCCGCTCAGATCATACGGTCCAAGCCCATTCTGGTCTACACCATCCAATAGATGGACTGTTGTTACGAATGTTCTCCACGAGTCATCGACCTAAATATTTGTTAACTCTTTATTAAATATATATAAATAAAACATTGTTAAACAAAATCTACAACTTCAAAGTCTTGTAAACAATTTTGAATATGGCCAGCAAATTTCTCTATCCAACATTTGTTGTATAGAGCTATGTTAGTTGTCATGACTTGATACCTTTTAAGCTGAAGGGTGCACTTTTAATATAAAACTATATATTTTTTTAAACTTTCGTTAGTTGCTTATAAGGATATGTAAACAGGAAAAATTTTGGACTTTGTTTAATATCAGATATCTGATTTTAGCAACGCTTGGTAAATCATAATTTTCCCTTGTGTTGTTTCAAACCTTTGATTTTTTTTTAATTAACTTAATTACAATCTCGATCTGAGAATATTACATGTTGTATATAATAATGTATATATAATGTATAATGTATATAATGTAATATAATCTATTCTGATATTATGTCCTAGCAAATGCTTGCATAAATATAAAAGCTCAATGAAGTTACTAATAGAATTATATATATTTAAATAAATAAATTTGTATTTATTATTTCTATACTGTTTCAGGATATAAATAAATTAATAAATAATAAATTAGCTTTAATCCTATCACAGTGGGACAAGTGGATATTTGACATAAATAATGTAATACATATAAAATAAATATACTTATATGCTCTGTAACATATTTTGTAAGCAAAACATTCGATTTAGAAAAATGTTTAATAAATAAATAAACAGATGAAAATTCATATATTTAATTTAAACTCTGTTCTTAATAACCTCAAGGACGATGAAACAATGATATAATGAAAACTTTTATAAGGAGGTTTTAAAAATAATTTTATTTTGGTTACAGTATTTAATGGCTAATTTTTGATAATATATCCACAATATAATATATCCGTTAGAAGCTCATTGAAGGAGATTTGTATGTAAAATTGAACAAGAGCCACCTGACCTAGATGAGAATTGTGTCTAATGGCGAGGCTATCCAGACACGTTTACGAAAAGGCCAATGGTTATGAATATAAAAGCCATTAAGTAAAATTATGAATAGCCAAGAACCCACCGAAATAAACAAATGGGGAATTGAACTACGAGCTAAAGCCTATTGGAACCGCTGTCGACGGCGTGTTAATGAGGAGACACAGAGACAGAGAGAGAGAGAGAGAGAGAGCCCAGCGCCACCGGCAGTCGATAAACACCCGGTTAGCATTGGCTGCCAAAATTGGGAAAAGGGTCACGTAGCCAGCATTAAACAGAAATCACAAGCCGATTCGATCGGGCCAACATAATCAAAGCCGTGCCGAGCGAACGAGAACAGCAACTAGCTAGCCAGCCAGCTGCTAGGAGGCCTACAATCGAAAGTGACGAGCATAAATTATGAACGACAGATCTGATCGGGAGGCCCCTATAAATAGGCCGAGCTCTTGGGCAACTCAGAACAGAATTGAGTCGATCGTCAAAATGGCTAAAGCTACTTCAACACTTCTGCTGCTAGGCTTCGCCGTCCTGGCCAGTGCGGAGCCACTGCGTCAAAGATTTGTGCCGCGACGTGGCCTCGCACGGCAGGAGCAGGCGCCACCAAGTCCTGCGCCCACCGGCTACCCAGAGGCTGGCATCACTCCCGAAGTGCCCTTTGAGCTGCCAAGCTCCACTGCACAGCCGGAAGTGAAGTATCTGCCTCCAGATAATACCTATGGTCCACCGGACAGCGTCTATGGGCCACCCACCAGTGGGGATGACCAGCCACAACCAGACGATTTGCCCGAGCCCCAGCCGGAGCCGGAGCAGCCCATCGAAACGGACGACATACCAGAAGAGGAGACTCCTGTTGATGCGAAGCAGCAGCCCGGCGCAGATGCAGATGAGGAGGAAGTGCTCGTGCAAGTGGCCGAGGATGGTACCGTGATCGCTGTCTCCACGACCCTCGATCAGCCCGAGGATAAGAAGTCCGCCAGAATCTATCAACGCTTCCCACAGGCTCGCCGCAGGCAGGCGCCAGTGCCGGAGCGCCTGGTGCTGCGCCGCAGCTGGTAAAATTGTAACCTAAGTCATGTAAAAGCTATTAATAAAGTTGGCCATAGCCACATAAAATCTTCGGTTCACATGTGCATACGGTTTAGTCATAGTGGCTGGGCACGTCTCGCTTGGGCTTGCCGTATAAGTCATCGCTCGATTGGCCTTGTCGGCAATTTGGGCACTTGGGCACTTGGGCAGTTTGGACACTTTGTTGGTGAAGGTCAGCTTTGGTCTATGATGGGTATTTAAAGTCGACAGTTGACAGAGGGCAGCAGCAGTTCAGCAGCAGTTGTGACAGCAAAATGTTTGGAGCGAGCTTTTTATTTGTGGCCCTTTGTGCGGCAGCTAGCCTGGATGCTAGTGAAGCGGCTAGATTACGTTTTCCGGGACCTGTTCTACAGCGGCAAGAGGCGGCTCCTTATCCACCAGCCGGTTTGACGCCTGATCCACCATTTGAGCTGCCGACGGAGCAGCCTGCTGACTTTCCTCAACCAGATTTGACCTATGGACCACCGGAGGAACAGCCGGAACTTGTTTATGGACCGCCTGAGGAACAGCCGGAGCTTGTTTACGGACCACCCGACGATGTCTATGGGCCACCTGATGAGACCTACGGCCCACCAGCAGTTGAAGAAATTCCTGATGAGACCTACGGTCCGCCGGAGTTGCCCACGAATGTAGACGCCAATGGTTCAGGACAGAGTGCAGCAACCATAAGCCTGGCTAGCTTACGTCCACAGCTACAATTTGTATTGCCTCTGGTGCAACGCTTTACCGCCTTCCGCCAGATGCTTCGTCCCGTGCAGTCCAACCGACGTCCCTCTAAGTTGACTGCTCGGCCACAGAAAAGACCTGCCAAGATTATCAATAGAGTTAATGCTGCATTCCCAGCGACTCAATTGACTCTGCCATTTGTGGAGCGCCGCATTCCCTTCAGGCCTGCGCGTCTAATTGTCAACGCCCCATTGAAGCGAAAGCCCGCCAAGATTACCGTTAATTCACCTAAAGCACCTCTCGCCCAGTTGACGCCCGCCATACGCAGGCCAATATTTTCTGGCGGTCGCATTATTGCCTATTCTGACCAAGTGCAGAACTGGTAAATAATGTGAGTACTTGTAAATAATTTTTGAATAAATCGTTACTTTTCTGGTACAAATGAGTCTTTTATAACTAAATATATCAGTCCGGCAACTCCATTATTATCGATATATTACTATATCGGCAAACCGCCACTCGCGAACATTCTACAACGTATCCATCCCTATAGCACGCTAAACCGAATTACCGACAACGCTGTATTTTTAATAAAAATATAGCAACAAAATAAACAAATATATATAATAGCAACACATAATTGACTGCCAGTAGTAGATACTGCTAACTGGATTGTACTGCATTGAAATTTTGGATTTTAACATAAGGTAAATATATGGCGGCCACAAGTGGAATAGCTCAACTCATAAAGTTTCCTAGGCAAAATGGCTGGTGTGTTATTCGAAGACATATTCAACGTCAAGGACATGGATCCTGAGGGCAAAAAATTTGACCGTGTTTCCCGCCTGCACTGCGAATCTGAATCATTTAAAATGGACCTCATCCTGGATATAAATTCATGGCTGTATCCCATGGAACTGGGAGACAAATTCCGCCTGGTGCTGGCCACAACATTGCGTGAAGATGGTTGTCCCGACAGTGGCGAATATAATCCTATGGAGCATGAAGGCACGCGAGCTGATAGTTTTGAGTACGTCATGTACGGAAAGATATATCGCATTGAGGGCGACGAGGCGCACAACGAGTCATCACGGCTGTCGGCGTACGTTTCCTTTGGTGGTCTACTGATGCGTCTGCAAGGAGATGCCAACAATTTGCACGGATTCGAAGTGGACCAGCACATGTATTTGCTAATGAAGCGACTGGCGTTTTGAACATTGTATAATTCACACTATTTTTGTAAATTAAATAATTTTACTGTAATGCTTTGAATGTTAAATGCAGTGTTACCATAAGCGACAAACGATAAAATGCTCAAGTTTCAATATCGTATTGCAGCTCAAAAAATTGGCTATCGATATTATCGAATTGAACTAGTTCCATCTTCATAATTAGAAGTAAACATTACACAGCGGGGTGCAGAAAAGAATTACATTTTACTAAACAAAACGGTGGATTTTAGCTGTGCAGCATAAGAAATAAGATGTGAAATAAACTCAGAATTTAGCTGAGATTTGCGATGAGCTTGCAGTATATTTGTGTCTATGGCTCTGGTGTCTGAAGGTAAAGGAAAAGTGCAATGTGTAGTAAAAATGGGCGTTTGTTTGGCAAACGCAATAAAGTTTCAACAAACAATACATAAAATGTAGCCTTTAAGTGTGCGTGGTGCTTTGTGTGCTTGTTTGAGTATGTTCCTGTGTGCGTGCTACAGTCAATTGTAAGTTTTATTTCGCTGCTGTTCATTATTAATAATTCGCACTCCCCTGCGGGTAAGTTCTTTTCAAGTTTGTTCTGATTTTCTTAAATATGTGAATTTGTTGTGGTGCTGGTATTTAATTATGTATGTATATAAGGAATATACTCAATTAGTTCTCATTGGTGTCGGTAATTTGTAGTAACTAACAAAATTCTTGCAGTAGTTTTTGTTCTTCTTTCGTACTGTTGGTTCTGCTCGACAGAAACAGAAGACTTCAACGTTTGACCCCACAGCAAGACGCACGCCCAGCGCTCTGCAACTGCGCTGCCTGTGAYTGCTGCTGCTGCTGCGGCCGTCGCTGTCATCGCCATCGTCGTCTGCGTCGTTGTCGCTCCCCATTTGCCTATTTAGCATTACAAAACTGCTGTTTTTGTATTCTTTGAGCCGCACACCTTTTGTGAGTTTTCGCTGTCGTTCGTGCTTTTTTCAACGTTCTCTTTCAATTTAATGAATCGCTGGCTACCGTGCGGGCAGGCAGCCAGACAGCGGCGTCGCTTCACGGGCGACGCGGGCGCAAGCAGAGCTGCAATAGTTACAGTTAAAGCTCTTTGAGAGTGTGYGTGTGTGTGTTTTTTGTTTTTAGGGTTCGGTTCGCGCTTCCAATTCGCTTTTCAGCACTGTTTTCATTTTCGTTTTACGCTTCATTTGCGTAACGTGCAGCTGTGTGAACTGTGGCCCTGTCCCTGCACTTGGGCACATCATGCTTCAATGCTGTTCCCGATTGCCGTCAATAGCTTCATAGAAACTAAGCACGGTAAGTTTGGCGCGCGCCGCCGCCCCTTGATTTTGTTGCTCTCTTTTTGTGTGTGTGTGTCGATGTCAATGAAGCGTCGCCAAAGGTCTGTAAATCTCCTCTTAGTGTATACGTGCATGTGCATGTGTGTGTGGGCAATCTGTTCGCCAGATGTTTATGTAGTGAGCATTTCGAGCTAACTGTTCCCAGGGTCGTCACCGTCGTCATCGTCTATTCTTGATTTTCACAGTTCTTTGTTCTGCATGCAGTTTTCCTGGTTTAATTTGCCATTTCATTGGAAGTTTCAAGCAGCAACGACTGCAGCAGCAGCAGAATCAAGAACAGCAGCAATTGCTTAGTGAAAACCTTACCATCAGTTGTATAAGTTGAGTCTTATCTGATCAGACTACGCCTTATCAGTTATTGCCTTTGTCGCGCGCTTATCAGTGTTTTAGCTTGGCGGCGCGCTCGCTCTCTCGCATTCCAAACAAAAGATTGAGAAAACAAACTAAACAACTTTTGAGTGTAGCGCACATGAGTTTCCACATATGTCGTCTATATATACTACCTGGAAATTCTAGCTGATAAAGTGATCAAAATAAATAAAGTACTACTACACTTAAAAAAAAAAAAAAAAAAAAAAAAAAAACTGTACTCGAGTCGAGTACTAATATTTATTATGTGACCGAACGTGAGATAGTAGACATTAATTTGGCAAATATTTCGTAATAAGAATTCAGTTGCATACAGCATATATAGGTATTTTGGTTACAATCACCTGGTACTTTTTTCTCTGTGTAATTCGTCATATGCCTCGCTCTGCGCCTCCCCTCGATACAATTCTTATCGTCAGCGACAGTTTTTGAAGTTCGGTGGACACAGCTGAAATTCTTATTGTTGTTTTCGTTGTTTTGTGTTTTGTGAGTTGTTTAGAACGTGGCATTGCAAGCTAAATAATTAACAAGAGCTCTTAACTTTTTCTTGCAGCGAAAATTTAACTAAATCGCTATAACAATCCAAGGTGTTTGGGTATCTACTTCTCTAGCTAAAATAATAATAAAGAAAAATCAAAGCAAAACCCTATCGTAGAAACAATAACCCCTTACCCAAGTAAATTAGCATCTGGTGCCGGGTGCAGGAACCTCTGTAATAGACATAAAACTAACCCAGCATGGTACGCAGCCGTCGCAGCCTCTCGAAAGAGGATGCCGTCTCTCTGCTCACGGATAGCGGTATTTCGCTGTCATCGCCGCCGGCGGCGCGTGAATCCTCGCCCGCTGCGACGGCCATTAAGCGGCGCAAGAGCAGCCTCAACAGCAGCCTGCAAGATTTGTACGTGGATGGCGAGCAGGAGGCAGAGCAGGACTCAACAGATACAGATGCTGACTACATTCAACCAGAGCCGAAGAAATCACCACGCAAGACAGAGTCCTCCAAGCGCAAGCAACACGTGTGCAGTCACTGCTCTAAGGAGTTCGGTGGTAAAACCGACTTGCAACGACACATGCTCATCCACTCCGATGAGCGGCCCCACAAATGCACCGAATGCGGCAAGTGCTATCGCCAGGCGGTGAATCTTAAGAACCACATAACCACCGCCCACGAGCACAAGAAGCAGTTCGCCTGCACGCAGTGCCCGAAGTCGTTTGCCCTCAAGGAGCGCCTCAAGCTGCACATGCGTCTGCATTCGGGTGAGAAGCCATATCCGTGTGCGCTGTGCGAGAAGCGCTTCGCACGAGGCGGCCAAGTGAGTACCAAAATAAATTTGCAATTATCTCATATTGAAACTGATAGCTCTGATTGTCCACGATAGCTCCAGCAGCACATGGTGTCCCACCACAAGATGAGCATCCAGCAATTCAACTGCACCAAGTGCTCGGCCAGCTTTTCCACCAATGCCAATCTGCGTGTGCACATGGAGCGCCATGAGCAGGGTATGGAGCACAAATGCACCATTTGCGAAAGCCAATTTGCCACTGAATTGGCTCTGCGCGCCCACATCAATCAGGAGCACCACAAGCTGAGTCAACTTGAATGTGAAATATGCCATAAGACCATCGAACCAGATGAGGATCTGGCCACGCACATGCAGAAGCACGCCGCGATTAAGACGCACGTCTGCGAGGTGTGCAATTCGTATTTTACACAAAAGTCGCAATACAATGTGCATATGCGAATGCATACGGGGGAGCGGCCGTATCAGTGTCGGGTAAGTGGCAGACCGAGGCTGACAGGAGACGTATCTTCTAATTGAATCAATGTTGCATCTGTTGCAGATCTGTCATCAAACGTTCGCCCACTCCAGCGTGCTGAAGCTGCACATTCGCAAGCACACGGGAGAAAAGCCGTTTCGCTGCCAGCTATGTACGGACGAGGTGGCCTTCTCGCAGCTGGCGCATCTCAAGAACCACATGAAGAAGATACACAAGCAGCAGAAAGCCTACATGTGTCCTGGCTGCCATGAGTTCTTCAAAATCAAAGTGGAGCTGCAGGCGCATTCCGAGCACTGTGCCAAGTGCAAAGCAACGGGGGAGCTCAACGATAGCCAGACCGAAGATGCTCATACACTATCCAGCATACGCTTCAACATCGCCGTTGTGTTGAAGAAGATTAGCTCAGCGCAGAAGCTGCGTCAGCTGGGCTACGAGAAGCGTTTGATTGATAACGTTATCATCGCATCCCTGAAGCTGGCACAGCGTCCGTCACACGACGACCCAACGCTGACGCCTTTGGCTAGGCTGCGCTTAAATGTCGAGGAGTTTCTCAAGTGGATTGTGCCCGCGCAGACCATGCAGAAGTTCAGCGAGGAGCTGCTCTCCATCGACACGATACTCGACAAGATTGCGACCATGTACATGAACCAGAAATAGCGACAGAAAAGCGACTAATGCTCACTGCTTGCCAGCAAAGCGATTGTGCCATAGAGTAAACGCCGTGCTTAGAATTAGTTCTTGCCATTTAATTTAGCTGCAATCCCAAAAAGTTAAATAGAAAATTCAACCAAATGATTTAGTCCAAAGATGTTTAGACTTAAGCCCCAATATGAATTTACACAACCTCAGTCTTAGTTATGCCAAAAAAAGAAAAGAAGCCAGATGAAGGGTATTCCCTTTGCTTAATTTCAATGAAAACTTGCCAGAGCAGTGCTTACCGCTTAGTTTTAGCTCGTAAGTTTGCCTAAATTAAACTTAATTCATTGTGGCCATGCATATTTACTTAACTTAATCGAGCTGCATTTTGTATCCACTTCATTACACCCGTTAACGAAACCAAATATAAACCAATTGAAATTTTATTTACAATTGTAAATAGTATAAGCAAGTAAAACATTTTGCAAATGTAAAATAAATGAAAAAACAGTTAACAATGATGTTTCGTATATATATTCACTAACAAATATGGAATCAAACACTAATTGTATATAAATTTATGAATGACTGCGCAAAGAGTATCGAGTTGTTCTCCGAAAAAAAACCTTAGGCTCACCTAGGAAAACCACTAAACCTCTGTCCAATGCCAACAAGCTAACTACAATAACAGTTAGGTACAACTGTCAAGCATTGGTGGTTGGTGGTCTGCGATCCGTTGACTGTCCCTGTCCCAGCCTCTGCCCCTGTCCCTGCCCCTGCCCTTGCCCCCAATGGGCCCATGACAGAGCCGCTATATATGGTCGCGTTTGTGCAAATTTATAAGCCACTCACATTGAGGCGGCAAATATTTTTATGGCCATGGTGCAACAGCAAACAGGCATCCTCGCCATTAGCTGCCGT